CCTCAGGATTGTCCATGCCAAATTTCATTCCTTGCACAACAAGTTTGCTCAGTCAATTGCTCAAATGTTTGAAAATCAACTATACTAGGTCAAAAGTCAATTGTGGCCCACACACAGTCAAACTTCAAGATTTTTTGTCAACAAAAACATTTTGAAGTTATATTAATCATTTGATTAAGGGTTGATCATGATTCCTCAAGGAGTGATCTTAATTTATCAAAAGTCAAGAATTTCTAAATTAGGATTTCTATAGGAAAAGTCAATTGAACTTTGACCAGGCATAACTTTCACATGCTTCATCCATTTTTCCCCAACCAAAGCTCATTTTTAAGATAATCCAATTACCTAAAAGTTCAATTATATTCTCAAGTTCAAGAAATTCACCATTTGAAAGATACAAGCTCATACGTTACAGGTCATTTTCAGAAAGTCAACAAAGGACACTTTTTCCAAGACCTTTTACATCAAGATAATTTCTCCAAATGCAAAAATAGTCAACATAGAGTTTGTATAGGTCATCTTGGGATTTCCAAAAAGTCCAAGATCATCTTCAAGAGATAAAAATTGAGTAAGTTATGGCTTTCCTAAGTTGAGAAAATTTGAGAAAATTCAAAGATTGTGCATTGGGCAAATTTAAACTTTTAGGTCAATGGCCTAACTTTTTGAGGTTAAAAAACTCTCATGACCTTATGAAGGACCTCTAAATACATTTTTGCATGCCTTTGATTTTATTTTCATTTATTTTGATTTTTTTAATTTAAAATTAAATAAATACAAAATAAATGCATAAAATGATAGGTTAATGTTTTAGACATGTGAGCTGGTGTGTTGGGTCAGCCTTGAGGCCCATATTTCATTCAAAACATGTCCAGGTTCACTCAAGTCTCAACATGACATGAAATCTCATTTTTGGCAATTTTTCAAAATGAGAATTATGGCTTTATCATGGCCTTTATGCTACAGATTCTTTCCATGTTTCCTCCTTCACTCCATCTCCTCTATATATACATCACTCCTGCAAGCATTTCACACACACACACACACATTGCCTATCAAAGCAACACGAAATTACTCTTCAAAAAGATCTCTGAAAGCTCTTCACAAAGCTCTACAGAATTCTCAAAATCGTTTAAAAGTTATGGAAATTCAAAATCTGATCTCCAACTTTCCTCCATCCAATCTCGTGCCATCTTTGCACTCCTGAGATCCCTGGGAGTCATTTCCATTCCTCACCTTGGCCTGGAGCCCGCCTGAGTCGTCCATACAAGTTTCAACATTCGGTATAGTTTGTTTAAATCTAATCTTGTTAATCTGCATTTATAATCCATTTGACGTTTGCATACATGTTTGTAGTCGTATATAGAGAAGGTTGGACGTGAAGCATGTAAGTTTTGAGCCCTGGTTCATGAGATGCCATTCTCAACCCTGATCGGAAGCTTGGCTTCGAAACGCAAAATTCAGAGACCTTTAGCCAAAACTAACGCCGAATTTCTTTACTTACTTCTTTTTATATTTACTTTTTCAAAATCATTTTTATTTAATCATAAAATAAAAAATAAAAAAAAATAGATTTAGGTTTTTTTATATATATAATTTAATTTAATTTGTGCAAGTTAATTAATTATATTCTTATTTATTTCAAGTAATTTAAAATCAATTAGAACTTAGATTTAATCATTTCAAATCTTTTTCTCAATAATAAAAATCTAAAAAATGTTAGAATTAGTTTCCTTTTGATTAGTTTTAATTGCATGTTATTTATCACTCTTTTCTTTATTTAGTTAAAATTATTATTTTTTAATTTAAGTATTTTTCTTAATAAAAATGACAAAAAAAAGTGCTAAGTATGTAGAATTATTTTAGGGTTTACCTCGCTTTCCATATTCGCGTGCCCATTTTAAATTTCGTTCATTTTATATTGATGTATCTGCAAAAAGGTTGTAATAGTTAATTTAGGACTTTTTACTTTTTGTTTCTCCATTTTGGACTTGTAAATTCCCCCTCCCCAAAGCCATGTAATAGTTAGGTTTTAAATTCCGCACTTTAAATTCTTGTACATATATTAACCATTAGATGTGTGCTTAATAGGATTGCATGATAAGACTAAAAACAAAACGTTAGCAAACCTAACATCAAAGAAAAATGACTGAACACAACACACTTGCACATGCGCACCTCTAGAGTACTCTCACTTTGGTTGCCTTCGGAATAAAACAGTCATAACTCTCGAATATGAGGGATTTTAGTGGCTACCCTTTGGTTTAAAGATCACAAAAATGACCCTCTCGATGTTGCCTCGGTATGATCTTAAGACTTTAGGGTGGTTACTAAGGTATCTCACCAAGTTGCCTTTATGACTGTACGATGACCCTCGATTGTCTCTCAAACATCCAACGATGGGGCTACCTACTCACTAATAGTATGATAGCACTGTCTAAAGGAAAAGAGGAAAAGAACAAACCTTTTCAAGTAGGTAGATAGTTCTTAGATGCTTGCTCAAATAAAATAATTTTCCACACATACACTTTTTTCTAAATATCTTTCAAAGACACTTTGTATACGTTCTCAATAATACGAGAAATATTACAAAGTTCGCCGCACTAAGGCGTCTTTTCAAAATACTTTTTTTCAAACACACTAAGCACAAGGTATATTTTCAAATGAGCTAGCATCTAAGAGCCCGTAGATAACTACGGATGGAAAGGATGCTAACATCTTCCCTTTCCATAATCTCCCCCTTACTCAAAAAAATCTCGAAAGGTATTTTTCTATTCTTTTCACCCTTTCCTTTGTTGGATAAAAGAAAAGTCGGTGGCGACTCTTTCTTACCACAACATTTGCGAATACAAACGCAAAACCAGTATAATAGTCAGTTCTTCCACCGTATTACAATGAGAATGCTAAGTGTGAGTTTCATTCTGGGGAATTTGGTCTTGATATTTAGGACCATAAAGGTTGGAGTATAAAGTCTAACATATGTCTGGTATCTCTTTCAAAGGCCAATTTTGTTTGGAAATTATTCCAGAACCTTTCTCTCAGTGAAGTTTCACTTTCGTATGATGGAAGGTGAGGTTAAAGAAATCCTCAGATGCAGTATCTGGTTATCTATTCTCTGAAGTAAAAGACACTTGGTGGTTTAGTTGATGCGATGTCTCTTGTTACAACTTCCATCATTTCTTTTGAAGGAATCTTCTGTGAATATCATCATGGGGCACCCAACCATTCAGTTGAAGACGGTTTGTCGTCAAGAAACAAGGTCCATGATTGGATCAATTCAAAGAATGTTGTGTTCACAGCAAATCCAAAGGGGAAACTCTTGCCCAAGTGAGTATCAAGACTTCGCAAATCATCAGAGTTAAGAAGTCCATACGGAGTCAAGTCTCCTCAACAATGGCATTTTTCTAGTTTCATTCGCATTCTCATTTGCAATTTTTCTTGTTTGGTTCAGTACTTTTTATATGAAAATCTTTCTTATCTTTGAATGTTAATCATAATGCATTGAATATGTTTGTCTTGAATTAATCCATTCACGATTTCTCTTAAATGTTTTTCTTTTTTTTTTATACTTAACTCTTGTTTAGTAAAGTAAAACCTCTAGAGGGAGGATGACGAATAACTTACCAAGAATCTCAGATAGTATGCTTTTGAGTAAAACTTTGCTGACGATGTACATGCATTGTTTCAAATCCCCAAACAACAGAGATATAAGGGAGTGAAACCCTCGTTAACCCCTTTGAGCCTTCGAAGTAGGGGTTTCTTTTCTATTCAGAAAAAACCCTTATTTTTGAACCCAGGGGCGGGTAGTGTTCAGTTAATCCGATTGAGCGTTCAAAACTCATCAAGAGTGCGCATCCAAGGATACAATAATGTTTATCCTTCAAAAGGTTGAGGAAAGTCAAAATTGCAATTGTCAATCTTCGTCTATTAGCAATGTGCATCAAAATAGGACGATATCCCAATGGGTATCTCTCGCACATCAGGAGGTCAGCTGATGACGATACAACAATGGTTATCCCTCATCTACCAAGAACTCCGGCAGTCATAATCCATCCAACAAAGTCGAAAATGACTCGAAGTCACACAACGTGTTCAAAAGGAAAGAAAAGGTAATATGGAAAATAATGATGAAAGAAAGAGACAAAAAGCACCGCTAAGTCGAAACTTGAAAAACAAGTCGCTTAGGAAAAAGTCAGGGCATCCCGTTGGACTTCAGAGTCAAATTCAAAAGGAATTTGTCCAAGAAAAAGTTAGGGAAAGCAAGGAAGAAATAGAAAGCCCGAAAGGCGAAAAAGGATTACGAGATGAAGATCCTCAACAAAGAATAAAGTCGTGTGATCAAACACCAATAAAGTAAAGGTGAGTGGTTGTCGTGTTCAAGAAACCTCAGTAGTTCCTCAACCATCATAAATTCCTCTTGAGAAACGAGTGTTCATATTGGTTTAACTGATTGTAGGACTAGATAACATCATGGAGAATGGGTGGGAACCAAATATTTTTAGCCTTAAATCCTTTTTTCTAAAACCATGAACTAGGCCATGTTACAACCCTGAAAAGTCCTAACTGAAACATCCGTTAATTCAAGAGCAATACAGTAACAAGAATACGGTAATCCGACTCCTAGGAGGCTTGCTAAAACTTTTGAGTTGGTATCACTCCGTCCTTTACTGTCTTTTTGTATAAAAAAATTTCAATGATTCAACATATTTTCAATAAAGTTTTTAAATTTCAAGACAAGCATAAGATTTGCATTAGAATTATCATTCTCATATGTTTTAAATTATCATTAGAATTAGCATTTGAAAATATGTTTTCTTCTAATCCATTGGTTTTGTAGGATTTCAATTTGGTGGACTCTACTATTCCATATTTGGTAGATGAGGAGACGAATAATATTCTGACTAATATTCCTTCTCTTGAAGAAATCACGGTCGCGGTTTTCAACCTCAACAGTGATAGCGCTCCGGGTTCGAACAGTTTTGGTGCTGTGTTTTTTCAGAACTATGGTGGATGTCATTAAGCAAGATGTTTCAAATGTGATCATTCAATTCTTTACTACAGGTTGGGTCCTCCCTGGTTTTAATGCAAACTCTATCATTCTAATTCCCAAGGTTAAAAGGGCTGACTCGTTGGATCTTTTTCGTCCTATTGCAATTTTGAATTTCAAATTCAAGATTATTTCCAAGATTCTCGCGGAAATACTTGCTTCCATTATGTCGTTGTTGGTCTCGCAAGAGCAGCGGGGTTTCATTCATGGTCGTCATATCCACGATTCTATTGGTTTGGCTTCAGAGGCAGTAAATTTATTAGGCTCTAAAGCTTGGTGTGGAAACATTGCTCTCAAAGTGGACATCTCTAAAGCCTTTGACATTCTTAATTTGTATTTTCCACTCAAAGTTTTATAGAATTTTGGTTTCAACTCTAAGTTTTGTTTCTAAATTCAAAACATTCTGCAGTCTGCACATCTCTCTGTCAATATCAATGGTATGATCAATGGTTATTTCACTTATTCCCGTGGAGTTCTCCAAGGAGACCCTTTGTCCCCGTTGCTTTTTTGTCTTGCCGAAGAGGTCCTCAGCAGAAAGCTAAATCTGCTTGTCTCCATTAAAAAGCTCGATCTTATCTAGGGGCCCAATAACATTTCAGTTCCGTCCCATATCCTTTATGTTGATGATGTTCTCATATTTTGCAAAGGAAAGATCTCCAACCTTAAATCCATCATCGATGCTTTGGACAAATATGCGGTTATTTCAGGTCAATATGTTAATTACAACAAATCATTCATTTTTGGTGGTGCCATGTCATCTTCCAGGATGAACATTCTATCGAACATTGTGAGTTTTAAGATTGGCTAATTTCCTTTTGTTTACCTTGGTGTCCCTCTTTTCAAGGGAAAACCCAAGGCGGTCTTTTTAAGCCCAATTACGGATAAGGTCATAAATAAGTTGGCTTCTTGGAAGGGCTCGTTGCTCTCGTTTTTTGGAAGAGTAGAGCTTGTTAAATCGGTAATTCAAAGCATGCTTCTGTTGAAATAAAACATTAAATGGGTTAGAAATAAATGATTAGTATTAACTATGGTAGTAGGAAAGGCATTAGTTTTCTTTTAGTAGTTATGTAGCAGTTATGTTGTTTAATTTACTATTTTAGAATTGTAAAAGTCTTGTTTGAGTCTATAAAAGACAAAGTATGTAATTTTATTCAAAAGAGAGCAATATACAAGAAGTTAAAAGTACACAAAGTCTGATTTATATTATATCAAATTGGCATCAGAGCTCATGGCGAACATGATGAACCAAATGTCGTTACCACGGCTAACGAAGTCAAACTATGAAAACTGGAGCATCCAAATGAAAGCTCTTCTTGGATCTCTAGATGTGTGGGAAGTGACCAATGATGGGTTTGAAGAACCAACAGAAATTGGAGGATATACAGCAGCCCAAACGAAGGCGTTGAAAGAGACGCGAGCGAAGGACAAAACAGCACTATATATGTTGTTCAGGACTGTGGATGAATCAGGCTTTGAGAAGATTGCTAGTTCGACTACGTCGAAACAAGCGTGGGACACGTTAGAGAAGGTGTTCAAAGGAGCAGACAGAGTAAAGTAGGTTCGACTCCAAACGCTTCATGGCGAATTGGAGAGGATACAAATGAAGGATACAGAAAATGTATCAGATTACATCACTGGTGTGCAGAAAGTGGTGAATCAACTCACAAGAAATGGTGAGACAGTAGCTGATGCAAGAGTTGTTGAAAATATTTTAAGATCTTTAACAGACAAGTTTGAAAATCTGGTGTGTGCAATAGAAGAATCGAAGGACCTTTCGACGCTCTCAATCGAAGAGCTCACTGGTTCGCTCGAAGCACATGAACAAAGAAAGATGAAGAAGAAAGAAGAGGCAGAAGAAGAAGCAGACCAAACAAAAGAATCGAAAGATGAAAAAGTACTTTTTTCGAACAACTTTCGAGGAAGAGGACGTGGACGTGGAGGACGTGACAGTGGTCGAAGTGGTAGAGGCAGTAACTTCGAAAGAGGAAATTCGAGCCAACAAAACTGGCGTGGCAGAGGACGTGGCCAAAGAGGTGGTCGTTCGAATTATTCAAATTACGAATGCTACAAGTGTGGCAAGTATGGCCATTACGCGAAGGATTGCAACTCCTACAAATGTTACAACTGTGACAAAGTGGGACATCTTGCAAAAGACTGTCGAAATGAAAAGAAGACTGAAGAGACAACCAATCTGGCCCTGGAAGCTTAATCGAATGAAGGGTTTCTCCTGATGGCCCAAAACGAAATCAACACCAATGACAGCATTTGGTATCTTGACTCAGGAGCAAGTAATCACATGTGTGGTTACAAACACATGTTCAAAGATATGAAGGGAGTTGAAGATGGCAGTGTGTCTTTTGGAGATGCATCAAAGTTAAAAGTTGAAGGAAAGGGCACAATCAGCTATTTGCATAAGGATGGCTTGATTGGGTCAATCGAAGATGTCTACTATGTACCAGACCTTAAGACCAACATATTAAGTCTGGGACAACTCACAGAAAAGGGTGCTTCGATCCTGATGAAAGATCGAACACTGCAGTTGAAGGATAAAACAGGATATCTAATTGCTGCTGTCGAAATGGAGAGAAATCGAATGTACAAACTTAACTTGAGGAACATTCGAGAGAAATGTCTGCAGATCGAAGTGCAAGACAAAGCGTCACTGTGACACATGCGCTTTGGTCACCTACATCATGCTGGTCTGAGAAGGTTGGCGAAAAGGAACATGGTGCATGGATTGCCAGACATGGAGTTCGAAGGAAAATTCTGTGAGGAATGTGTGCTCAGCAAACAAACCAGAACCTCATTTCAGAAGAAGGCAGAGTATCAAGCTAAACAAATACTCGAACTAATACACACTGATATATGTGGGCCAATTACTCTAGAATCCTTCAGTGGAAAGAATTATTTCATTTCCTTCATTGATGACTTCTCACGGAAAACCTGGGTCTACTTCTTGAAAGAGAAATCTGAAGCACTAGAAGTGTTCAAGAAATTCAAAGTAATGGTAGAAAAGGCAACAGAAAGAAACATCAAATCAATTTGATCAGACAGAGGAGGAGAGTATACTTCGATTGCCTTTGTGAAGTACTGTGAAGAACAGGGCATAAGAAGATTCCTTACTGCGCCATATTCACCTCAGCAAAATGGTGTGGCTGAAAGGAAGAATCGAACTATCTTTGACATGGTTCGATCAATGCTTAAAAGCAAGAGTATGCTGAAAGAGTTCTGGGCAGAAGCAGTACAATGTGTTGTTTAGATTCAAAATAGGTGTCCACATTCGAAGCTGGAAGACAAAACACCACAAGAAACATGGAGTGGATAGAAGCCAACAATCTCTCATCTAAGAGTTTTTGGTAGCATAGCCTATGCACATGTACCAGACCAACGAAGAACAAAGCTCGAAGACAAAAGTCAGAAGTTCATATTCATTGAATATGATGAGAAGACGAAGGGGTGCAAGCTTTTTAATCCCATAAGTAAGAAAGTGGTTGTAAGCAGAGACGTTCGAATGAATGAAGCCAGCAAGTGGGACTGGAACACTTCGACAGAGGTTGGTGACACAGTCGAAGAAATAACTATAGCTGTACCAACAAACACTCCAGAAGAACATGAAGAAACAAAAGATAGAGATGAACCTCTACAACCCAGAATGAGAAGTTTACAAGATCTGTATGAGTCAACAAGTGAGGTGCATCTTGTGTTCCTTCTGGCAGATGCTGAAAACATAAGTGTTGAAGAAGCGTTAAGAGATGAGAAGTGGAAAAATGCCATGGACGAAGAAATTAAAGCAATCGAACACAACAAAACTTAGGAGCTGGTCGAATTACCAAAAGGAAGTCAACCCATTGGTGTAAAGTGGGTATTTAAGAAAAAAAATGAACGCCCAAGGAGAGATCGAAAGATACAAGGCACGGCTGGTTGCAAAGGGATACAAGCAGAAAGTTGGCATTGACTATGACGAAGTGTTCACGCCTGTTGCAAGAATGGAGACAATTCGATTGCTCATCTCTCAAGCTGCTCAGTTCAAATGGCAAATATTTCAAATGGATGTCAAGACAGCATTTTTGAATGGTGTGCTTGAAGAAGAAATCTATGTCGAACAACCACTTGGTTATATGAAGACGGGAGAAAAGAAGAAGGTGCTGAAACTGAAGAAATCATTGTATGGGCTGAAGCAAGCACCTAGGGCATGGAACACACGCATTGATACATATTTTAAGGAGAGTGGATTCGAGCAATGCCCCTATGAACCAGCGCTCTATGTGAAGAGAAATGAAGGTGATTTATTACTTGTGGCTCTGTACGTTGATGATCTCATTTTTCTAGGCAATAATGTTAAGATGATTGAAGACTTCAAAAGCACCATGACAAGAGAATTCGAAATGACAGACTTAGGTCTGATGAGATTTTTTCTTGGTCTAGAGGTTCGACAGGAAGAAGCTGGGATTTTCATATCACAAGAAAAGTATGCAAAGGAAATCCTAGAAAAGTATAAAATGAAGAATTGCAATCCAATTTCGACGCCAATGGAGCCAGGCACAAAGCTGTCGAAGTTTGATGGAGGAGAACGAGTCGAAGGAAGCAAGTATCGAAGCTTGGTAGGCAGTCTTCGATATCTCACATGCACAAGGCCAGATATTTCACTTAGTGTTGGCATAGTGAGCAGATTCATGGAGGAGCCAGTTCACACACACTGGAAAGCGCTGAAACGAATTCTGAGATACATCCAAGGAACAGTATCACTTGGGATGTTTTATTCAAAGACTGAAGACTACAAGCTAGTTGGATATTCTGACAGTGACTGGTGTGGAGACGTTGATGATCGAAAGAGCACTGCAGGATACGTGTTTTTCATGGGAAACACAGCTTTCACTTGGCTATCGAAGAAGCAGCCAATAGTGACACTTTCAACGTGTGAGGCAGAGTATGTGGCAGCATCCTGGTGTGTGTGTCATGCTGTATGGCTCAGAAGGTTGACAAGTAAGATGAGGCTGAAGCAGGAAGGTCCAACAATAATACACGTGGACAACAAATCAGCTATTGAGTTGGAGAAGAATCCAGTCAATCATGAACGAAGCAAGCATATAGACGTTCGATTTCACTTCATACGTGAACATGTGAAAGAAGGAAGCGTGGAACTAAGGCATGTGGCAAGCAAAGACCAAGCAGCTGACATCTTCACAAAACTACTATCAAGAGAAGTATTCGAAAGAGGCAGAAAGATGATTGGGATGCTGGATCGAAGAAGCATTTAATGTTTAAGGAGGAGTTTTGTTGAAATAAAACATTAAATGGGTTAGAAATAAATGATTAGTATTAACTATGGTAGTAGGAAAGGCATTAGTTTTCTTTTAG